TATCAATTTGTGAAGGATAAAAATATGATGAAAGTAAATAAACAAGTGAGACTCTTTCAAAGATATAGAAATAGAGAAGTATGTATATTAAAAAGAAAACTAGAATGGTTATTGTCAAAAGATAAGAAAACTAGAGACTCTTGAATGTAGACTAGAAACAAGAAAGGAATTGACAAAAGTGAAGAAGGCTTCATTCTTATTTCTATATGTACTTTGTACCTAAAATCTATGTGGTGACCTTCTATAGGACCTCCAAAAATGTGTTGACTTTGCATGATACGTATCTTGACTTGCAAAGTAAGTTTTCTATATGGGCACTACATAGTTAGCTTGTTTTGTAAGCTACTAATACATGTTACACATGGATAGCTTGTTGACTAAGTTTCTAACCTACCAATCAATTATAAACATATATAAAGTCAAAATAGCATCTAGATAGCTTTTAAGAGGCTTTTTTAGAAGATATTATGAAATTAATCTACTTTTATATAATTCCACTTATTCATATTACCTAAATAACAATTATAGTAGATGTATATCTATGATATATTTTTATTAAAAGTAGCATTCATAATCTTTTCTTTCATAGACAACTTAGATAAATTCAAAAAATTGAATGAGTGGAGGATAATTTGTAAACTATAATATCAAATGAAAATTTCTATAAAGATTTTTTTTTTTTTTTTTTTTTTTTTTTTTTAAAATCAATGTTAGAAAACTAAATTATTTGTTTAAAAGTAGATGGTTTAGAACCTTCAAAATACAACAATAGTAGTGGGATAATCTACTCACTTCTAAAAGAAGACAAGAACAATAAATTAGTAGTCTTATCAAATTGTCAAAGACATAAATCTTAAAGAAAGAAAATTCAATATATATGCTACTTGAAAAGATTAAAAAGTCATTCAAAGATGGTACTATATTAAACTAGAATGGCTATTACCAAAGATAAAGAGACTAGAAAGTCTTAAAATAAGTTTAAAAACTAAAAAAGTATAGACAAGAATGAAGAAGGCTTCACTCTTACATCCACAGATACTATCTAACTAGGAGCTATATAGCAATGTTTTCTATCTTCTATTTCTTTTCTATCTTTCAATATTTCTTTTTTAATAACAATGGCCAATTCAAGAAGCTCCTTATTTTTGAACTCGTGATAAATCTCTTCCTTACCTTTTAGATTAAATAAACTTTTAATAGGAATAGGATCCTCAATCCAAGAATTGACATTTTGCAAGTAAGCTCTTCTTTTAATACAAATTTTTCTTTTAGTAAATTGAAAGAAAATAGTTCTTTTTTTATTGTGAGGTACAATATGTAAGACATCTTTTATAATAAATTGGACATCTTTATGGTTGTGAAATGATTTAATATTTATGTTTTTTCAACAATTATAGATTGCATCAAAAAAAGTATTATTCCATGCAATTCTAACTCATTTTATTTTTTGAAGCAAGTCTATCTTATTGATATCGTTACATGATTTATTATCTTCTTCATGACAAATAATACATTAAAGATAAAAGCTCTTATTATACCTTTTTAAACCAAAAATAATTCTAATATCTATAGGTTGTATTTTTGAAGTAGTCTTTGGATGCAAAAAGAAACTTTTAATATTAATAAGGATAATATATATATATATATATATAATGGTATATTATCTAGAATAAGAAAAATATTATTATTGGTATCTTTTATTTTGGAGCTAATATATTTTAGTCATTTTTGAAAAAAAAAATTAATAATCAAATAGTTTTTTTGCTATTACAGTAATAGAACCTAAGCATAACACCAATCTTATTATTGAAGCACTTTAGTTTATTTTCATTTTCAATAAAGAAAGATCCATCTTATCACCACCATCAATATTATTAGTCAAGAATATAGTCAATTTAGTTTTGTCATTTTTTACTCTTTCAATCTACCATGATGCAATAATACAATCCAAAGCCATAGAATGAAATTGTCATATTTTGTCCATGTTGTAAATATTATGCAAAATATATTTGTTGGTTTTATATTTTATATCTAGCAAGATGTTAACTATTGTATCCACATCTATCAAAGCAACATCTTAGTGTGCAAAATGATGTGAAGTTGTGACAATCTTGAAAGGATTGAAGACATTCTTTGGAAAACTTTGGTTGTTTACACTTAAGAATGTTAAGCTTATTGATAAAAAGTTTAGCCTTAGTTTGAATAAAGAGATTAAACAAGTAGATTTCTTTATACTTGCATCGTACCACCTAGTTGGCCAAAGCATTGTCTAGCTCTAGGTTGTTCATTAGTTGTTGTTGCTTAACTTTCAAGTGTCTTGGGGTCATATTGGTATACTCATTTTTCTCTTAAGAATCTCAAAAATAATGCTCTGAGTAGGTACTTTTGCCAAACTAAATTCATCTTTGGCCCATGGTGCCAATTGCTTTTGTATCATTGATGGTATACTATCAATTGTGTACATATTGTCTTATTCTTTTATTATTATAGAAGTTGCTAAAGACAAGGGCTTTTCTTTGGCAAGGCATTTTGTAATGACTTGTAACAACAAAGAGCTACAAGAATGTTTATTTGATAATAAGAGTGTCTGCAGATATTCTTGTGTTACAAGACAAGAACAAAAGAAAGCGTTTTTTTTTGCTTATTTGGCGAAGTGAGCAAGAGAGCTCACTATTTACAGTTTTTAAAGTACTGTTTTCTCTCATACTCCAGCAGGTCCCTGCACCATGTGGAACACTACACATTACATGGCTGAAGAATGGGAAAGGGTGAAGGGAGGCAGTGGATGAGGTTCAAAAAAACTTCATTGTGCCATGCTGACCACATAGAGAGGATGTGGTACAAGAAAAAATACATCAGAGTACATGATTCTTAAATACATTTATCAGTGATATCCAATACAAATTGCATCCACTGATGGTATTGGATTTGATGGGTTTGACTGTAGTAAATTGAATTCCCTCAATTCCCAAGAGTTAATATTTTAAAATTCTGAATTGGAAAAATTACTATTGTGATTACTCCTTTGTTTATGGAAAGAACACTGACATTTAACCATTTGCAAAATAGTTAGCATTTACTTATCAAAGGTGGACCATATACGAATACACGAGGAGTTAGGATTAAGACCAGGATGTGAAGTAAGGGAGGGTAGAATTGTAGTGTCGATGCATGGTTCATTCTTCAAGTTTACATTAGATTTGTTCAGTCCACCACGAAGCAGATCGATCCGTGTTTCTTTCTGGATACCTGAGTCGTATTTAAAGGTGCCATAATTCGGTTCACAGTAGAATATCGATGAATCATGTCGCGGGACTACCACATTCCACGGCATTTTCGGAAGTTATGAGTACATCATCACTCACAATGCTTTCTACCCCAATAAAACAAGCTGTGAGATTCTAAGAAAAGTTGCCGGTATTTTGTGGAAAGGGATTGTGACTTAAGATGTGCTTGTCTGGTAGTCAGAAAAGCACGTCTGAGCCTGCTTCTGCCGGAGCAAGGTGGAAGCTTGAGCAATTGGTAGTGCGTGATGCGGGAATATTGTAAGACACAGATTCTGTGGATCTATTGTGACCTACATTAAACTGTGCAGTACGCTTCTCGAGTCCACAGTGTCAAGTGATCTAGGAACGGATATTTGGTGGAATAAAACCCGGTTAAACCAGAAAGCAGTTTATTCTGGGCTAGTACTGCCGACGTACAATGTAGTACAAGGGCGCCACTGAATTTCACGAGCCAGAATAAAATGGGAGCACGTTACACATCTTCTTCGAACTTCTCGGGGGCATCTGCCCCCTTCTGCACGTTTCTGAACGTTCATCACTCCCGTCAGCTCTGTCCACCGTCCCTCACCTCGTGTGCTTCATGAACACGTGCTGCGGGGGCACAAGCATAACCTTTCACATTGACACGAATCGGAGGATTATGCAAATCAGATGTCACACCAACAGACCGAAATTGCAAAGAGCACGCTAGCGACCTTGGCAATCTTGAGCACGAAACTGAGGGACACGGGGGGGGGGGGGGGGGGGGGTAGAGCTGGCGGGGGGATGAAAATTCAGGGCTGGCAGAAGCGGGCAGGGCTTCCCATGAAGTTTGGGGAGGGGGTTGTAGAAATCGCCCCAGGAAAAAATAGTCAACCTGGTCTCGTGAAGCCATCCTGCTATTGGAGATGATTCGTTTTCTCCACCGGCACATGACCCCTGTACTGCCCACTTCGCATCGTCTCCACATTATCCCCCCTCAGAGACCTGGGCTCAGTCAATCGTCCCCTCCTGAGATGCCGGCGATGGAGACTACTTTGTGCACTGGGGGGCGTAGTAAAGTCGCAACAATTAACTAAGAGGTGACCTTCGATCGATCAGGATGCAGTCCTGTCGATCCCGGGCCCCGCCTGCTGCCCGACCTCTGCAACAGGGCAGTGGGAGGTGCAGAGGATGGAAAGGATTTAAATACTCTTTGACCTCCACGCATCTTAAGGTATTGGGGAGCACACATTGGATCCCGAGATCGAATTTCAATAGATGTACTTGTAATTTTGCGGAGTATAACACTTCATCTTACCCTGCCGTGAGCCGCACTCGGCATTCCTTCACTGCAATTCCGGGCACACCAATGTTCTGCTATCTTCGATGAACACCCATTTCAGAAAATCGTCGTCCACTGCTGCCGAGTCGGGGTAGTTCAACTGTGGCCCTTAATTTGAAGGCTATAGTGATTAGAGTGTGTTGTTACTTGAGGTTTTCCTTCCAAACATAACCCTTCAGATTGCTGTTTAAGGAACAGAAAAACGGTAAGTTTGGAAAGAATTTGTTAGAGAGTTACTAAATCTGCTGCTATTGGAACGGGCAACACAATAATTACGCATCGTGTGTGGACTGTGCACGTGCAGCGCTGGATGGCTACGAAGGGGTAAGCCTACTGATGTACTACACGAAAGAAAGCCTCCCATAACCTCTGGTAATCAACCCCCAATCGCAGAATCGCACTGTTAGGGACCGTCAACTGCAGAAGTGTCATGTACTGCCAAATCTCTACAGTTCTTTTCCCAGTACGATGATCCAGGTTCGCGTTCTAGCAGCTATTAGAACTCGTGTGCCTCGTCATGACAAGGACCTTTTCCTTCTTCGGTTTTGCTCATGCCTCACCAAGATTGCCGCCATATCTCCTCACCCCTGGTCGAGGTCAGTGCTCCCTTTCATCGAGTTGTCTGCATCGCCCTTCTCCGGACTTGAAGCGTTGAGTTGGTGCCGCAAGTACAGCACTGCTGCACTTGTCAAGTATATCCTCCATGGGGGGTTTAGTTCCCAGCGCTCTCAAGGCGCTGCTTCTGGTGATTCTGTGGGGCTTGTTCCTGTTTTGGGTGGTGGAGTGGTTCCTCTACCCTACTGATCGATGGACCAGCTGGAAGGCAGATGCCATTGAGGAAACCAACAGCAAGTTTCTTGAGTTGAATGGTAAGTTGAAGTATCTTTTAAACAAGTACTCATTACACGCGAACACACAATTTCAGGGGTGAGCTTAGGCGATATTTACCCCACCAACGAATACCCAAAGGCAGCTTGAATACTAACACGGGACGTAGGATAGTTGGTGGATTCACGGGACGTTTGATGTTAGTTAATAATGCCCAGTGAGGATGCGCTAACTATGAATCGTTCAGTCCTGATGTCATCATGAGTGGATATTATAGTTCATCGGTAGGAGATAAGAATCACTAAATTCCAGTCTAGTGGTGGAGCTGACACACTTCCATTTGCAATGCACAGGACCATTTTTTCTGATGTGGTCATTTCCGGTAATCTTGTTTGCTCTCTTCGCCTTACTTTATTTGGAGGTAGACCAACGTCTCAAGGCAAAAAAGTGAGTTGACATCTCAATATGAATCTGAAACTTTAAAAAAAATTTATGAGAATCTCATTGAGTTGTAGTCGTTTGATTGGGCAATTGAGTTCGAGATGTTCATTATCTGATTGTATAAAGCTGATTTTAGTGCAATGGTACGTGCAGAGAGTCGAGCTGTACAGATGTGCCAAAGTGGAAGCGAGTATGGCTAAGACTCCGAACGCAACCTATCCTAGTGAAAAGTCTGCTGGGGGTGCTCACGGGAGTGGACTTACTTGTCATTTCGTTCGTCGTGTTTGCAACCATGTGGATTTTCGTGAAGCCCTTGATCCCTATGCTTGAAGAGGTTGACAGGAATACCATGAAACCCGGTATCGACAGGTGAGGGACACGGATTTTTTAACATGAAGATCCCATCACTCGTACACTCTGCGAAAAAGTTCTCCTTTCAATCAGAACATGCACTCCTGAAGATTTTCTAGTGTGTCGCGGTGGGTCTTAATTATTAAAACCTTGCATTTGAGCACAGGTGGATGATCAAGGTGGGGAGAGTGGGCACATGGACAGGGCGAGCATGGTATCTACCAATGGCACTTCTATTTATTCCAGTGTCCAGAAATTCACCTTTTCTGCGGTTGGTGAACTTGCCATACGAGCACGCCGTGCGCTTGCACCGTTGGCTGGGTCACTTCTCTCTGGTCATCCTCCTCCTCCACTCCATTACTTTCTCCCTTCACATCTACTACACAGGCGGCGGCAGTGTCAAGGGGGTGAGCACTACCTCGCTGTTGCTAAGGAGACTAGACTTTGATTTTTCCTGTGTCGTACATGGAATAAAATTCCCAGCAGTAATGTTGAATCAATGAACTATGGGACATGTCTCAGAAACTTGCTAACTGTGCAGGTTGATCCGTGGGAATGACAGATATTTGAGTGGAAGACATATGGAGTGTCGAACTGGGCGGGAGTGCTGTCAATGTTAGCGGGCATTGTGATGTGGGTAACCTCGTTGGGACCCATCCGGCAGCCCTTCTTCGACGTGTTTTATGTCACTCATCACATGTACATTTTGGTATTTGCCTTCGGCGTGTGGCATGTTGGTGATTTCTCCAGTTTCTACTTCCTGGCCGGTGTGTTACTGTTCTTCATCGATAGGTTCGTTCGCATGGTACAATCGCAGTCACCTGTTAGCATCCTATCTGCTAGGACCTTATCCAGCGGTGTGATTGAACTAAAATTTCCGAGATCTCAAGGTATTTTATTCATTCTGCACCATATATTCTACGCCCACATATTCAAGCTTTCCTATTGTACAATTGCATCGGATTAAATTGGACTGCAATGCATTGTTAATTGTTGTTGTACGGCATGAAGTTACTTGCTCAGTTTCAGACGATCTAATAAATTTGCGACAACACATGGTTTCAGAACTGAAATATAACGCGTTGGGATTCATCTTCATCAACGTGCCTGAAATTTCCAAATTTCAATGGCATCCGTTTAGCACCACGTCCAGCTCGCTGCAAGACAACGGCCAGATCACAGTCTGCATCAAACCTGCGGGAGCGTGGACTAGGAATCTTCAAAAGCTTGTCAAAGCCGCAGATGCGCAGGACTTCAAGTCGGGAGGGTGTCCTCTGCCCTTCCGAGTGTTTGCTGAAGGACCATATGGGCCCGAACAAGACTATTTTCTAGGATACAAGACATTGGTTCTCGTTGCGGGAGGTGTTGGCATCACTCCTTTCCTAGCAGTGCTCCGCGATCTCCTGTGTCACCACCAGGCGGGCTTTGGATCAGCGGCGGGGCTCCCAACCAAAGTGCATCTTATCTGGTGTGTACCCAGAAGAGCAGACTTGGCAACACTTGGGGATATTAAACCTGCACTTTTGTTCCCAGGCTTCGAGGATGGCCCGCTCACAGTGGATGTGAAGGCATACGTGACTCGTGAACAAATAGGAGCAGAACCAACTGATAACAAGGTCCCAGCCTCCATCCTGCAAGCTCAAGGCCAAGAGTGCCCTGTGATTAACAACCCCACTGGCGAGAACATGACTAGACAGAATGCAGTCTCAGATATAAGAAGCAGTAACCTCTGGTATGCTGGGGTCATTGCTGCAGCATCCACAGGCTTCATCGTGTTTCACGGAATATTCCACAATTATGTTGTGAGGCCTAACCATCACACTGACGCACCGTTCTACTTCGAGCATGGCTCAGCCCATGCCTCTAGTGGTCCCCAAGGAAAGCCGTTCCCAACATGGATCACTGTGTCGTTGCTGTTCATCAGCATGTTTCTAGGTGTGGTGGTCTGCGGAGGATCTGTTCTCTTCGCTTGGGCGAGGCTTGGCTTCAGCCGAGCTCAAGCCGTGCCTAAACCATCCGTAAATGACGCAGACCCCAAAGTCCCAGACCCCAAAGTCACAGACTTAGAAAGGAGAGAAGCCAGTTTGCTTGAGGTGGCCAGCATCACCGCAGGCACTCGCCCCAATCTCTCAGGTAAGTAGATGTGCATGTGTGGAGAATCTCCAATAAACGTATCATTAGTCACCCAAACCTATGGAAATCTGGTGAATCATTTGATTTCCAAGAACCAAGGAACAGCTGAGCAGCTTCATGAACGGTTTAATACCCAACAGGCAAAACTGAGCACCATGCTGTACGACAATGATGATAAAGAGAACAGTAGTTGCTGTATACGAGAAGATGACTAAGCAGTTCATTAACTGAGATGATTAATGTGCGTGTGCAGAGTTGCTATACACCGTGGGTGCAGGGTTAGAGGGTGAGAACGTGGGAGTGCTGGTGTCTGGGCCTGAGAGCATGAACGACAGTGTAGCAAGCGCATGTCGCGACTTCAACTTCCGCAACGTCTGCGGTGGCACGCAGCTCCAGTACCACACCATCAGCTTCGACTTGTAGAGGACCTCCTACCGATGCGTGTGTGGTCATGCCTAACAATTGTACAGGAGATGTTTGAACCCTGACCCCTTCGTTGGTGAACATCCCTACTGCTGCAGGCCAGGTTGGAGATGTTGGCGTCATATCAAACCTGTCCATCCTTTCCTCCAGCTCTCGGTTTTCTCCTGTAGAATGTGTGAAAAAACCAACTCTTGGGGGAATTTCTGTGCTTTACTTTCATGTAAAGTAATTCAGTGTGTTTGAGTGGAGTTGAATTCGAAGAAGGATTCGTGGAGTCGAAAACAACTAGTTGGTGTGCAAGTTACAGACAGGATCCAGTGTCCGAGTAGAGAATATGATGGCGGATCGCTCATGCAGTTAAACAACTCTTAGAGCGAGAACATAGCTGAAAAGCTGAGCTCCCCTTGCACTCATACAGAGTGGGAGAAAAACAGCTACAAGGGAGTACGTGTGATTATGTTTTCAAATGTCGCATTACTCATGAGAACAAGACATCATTCCCAAGCTCTTCTTGCATTCCTCAACTCCTAACGTGACATTCTCTACTCTTGAAACTCTTGAAACGTTTCTTTTATGATGTCAACTGTGACACATTCACCAGTTTTCTTTCGTCACGCTAATACGAAAAATTAATTCATAATCCTAAATAAAATAAAAGATGGTAAAATTTTGATCCCAAATCCAAAATATCCAATATCGAAAAATCTACACCCTGTCATGACTAATTTAAAATTATATATATATATATATATATATATATATATATATTAAACAAGAAATTCATGAATGACAATGAAACCTGTTAATGGGGAAAAATGATGTTGATTTAGTGTGAGTGTGTTTATCTGAAATAATTTTAAAAAATTTACATCGCATATGCTGAAATACGATTGTGTTGCTATATGTTTCAAAAGTTATTATCAATATTGCACATGAGTACAATATTCAGTTCAATATTCAATACCAGTAAGCAATGAAAATATTAATGAATAATTCGAAATTTATTCGACACACCATCAAATAAAACCTTGTCAAATACTGCATTTGGAATAAATTACAATCTCAGCTTTTACATAATGTAAACATGGCATTTACATTTTAATGTTTAGAAATAATGCAATCAATAAAAGAAAACTTGAATCGTATTGTCGTAGAACAAAAAATTGAATACATGAGTAGTACCATTTAACGGAGATTATGTTTTTTGAATCCACAACCAAATTCATAATCATGTTTTTCTTTTCAATTATTTCAGAAGTCAACTAATAAAATTACAAATTTAATTAAGATGGAATTATGTGTACGAATATATATATATATATATATATACATATACATGATCTCATATTTTATAATTTTAACTTTTAATGTTTTTATTTATTTAAATCAATTGTATAACTATTTCTGATAAATTAATTATTCATCATTTATAATTTTAAAAATTTTACAACAAAAAAAATTAAGTTAAAACTTGGTACTATTGCACATAGATAGAAGGAAGAGAAAAAAAAATTAAAATTAAAATTAAAAGGAGAAGGTGACTACAAGACTATGACAATAGTTTAGAATAGACAAAATAGAAGAAAAAATAAAAGAAAAACTTTCGTAAGGCCTTGGTTTGAAAGTTTCTTGCTAATTTTAGATGTTTTCTACATGGGTTCTATTCCATAAAATCCTAATATCATTTTTGAACTTGATGTAAGAATTGACAAAGATGGACACTGTGTACAAATATTATTCTTGTAAATAGGGTCCTTCATATTATTTTGGGACTTAAGTATACAATGTAGTGCTTTACTAATTCTAGACTTAAAATGGTTTGTTTTCTTTGTTATTTTGGCAAAATAAATATCCTTCTGAAATTATTTATCAAAATTGTTGCATCAAAAGATTCACACTATAAATAAATAAAATTAAGTTTGATAGTGATTGCTACTCTGCTATCTCTCTGACAGGACCCAGGACCGAACAGCATCGGCTCCTACACTAACCATGACTTGTCATTTTCTGGATCACTGCCGTGGCTGGCTTGGATTTCTAGAACTAAAGGAAAGGCAGATATCATCAGTCTTATCCCCCTAAAAGCGGAGCTCAGTGCCGTGACTCAGAAATCTACAACCACGTTTACAGGGGGAGGGACAGGTATACTCTCAGACAAAGTTAGTGCGCCTGCTCTGTTTTCCAGCACGGCATATTGAACTTTGGTTCCTATTCTTCGTCATTCATCTGAGAGAGAGAGAAGGGAGTGATGGTGGAGGCTGGATTTTGTAGCATTCAATATTCTGCTCGTGAGATACCAATTGCTATCTGATTTCAGTTTCTCTCTCTCAAGAAATCTCTTGGGTCTACGCTGGCCATGGCTATGGCGAGTTGTGTGCAATTGCACCTTGTACCGGCTGGGTCATGCTGTAGTGAAACCACTGGATGTCGGGGACGGCCTGCACCGGCGTTGAGGATGATCTGTCGGGGCGGGAGGCAAAGAAGCGTTACATCAATTGAAGTGCAGAGAAAACCAGAAGCTCTTGGGAAAAACATCAAGTCATGGATGTGTGTTAGGGCGCAGGCGCAGCCCGAAGGGAAGAATGTTAATGAGACGGAGGAAAGTAGCGAGAGTGTGATGAAGAGAGAGGGGGTTGCAGCATTAACCGTGGGACTTGTGGATCCTGAAGTTTCAACAGCTGCAATTGAATCCGTCGTTACCGCAGCAGCGAACTCATCAGCAGTAGTAGGTAGTTGGCTTGCTTTTGAAATCGGTTGAGCCACTCTGTTCTGATGTTGCACAAGCCAAGAATGCCGACATTTGTGAGGATTTGTATGAGGTACTAAATTCGGGCTGTATGCAGACAGAAGAAGGGACCACCGCCACAAATGAAGAATCATGCATAACGGAGGAACTCAGATCTATCTACGCTACCATGCGGGAGTGGAAATGGCGAGGCTATTCAATTGCGTACACGGTCCACGGTAGCGGTCCGCCTGTACTGCTTGTTCACGGTTTCGGTGCATCCATTGGGCACTGGCGAAGGTACAGTGCTCATCCGCGAGAATTAATGCATTAGTGTTTCGCTGAGTTTGGCTTTCTGCCGACGATTCTGTTACCGCGACGAAAATACAGCTTATTTCCTCTACCGAATGTGCGGCCCATCTCATCTTTAGAGAATTCTGAAATGCAGGAATATAGGAGTATTGGCCGAGAGTAACACGGTCTACGCCATTGATTTGCTTGGATTAGGAGCCTCGGACAAACCTTTCAAGTTCCTTTACACAATGGAAACCTGGGCTGAAGTATGGCTTCGATCTTCTAGTGTAACCTTATGGACGTCTTTATTCCAAGTTTAATTTCATCCTAGTGGTAATGTATGTTATTGCAGCCTGGTATTGAATACATGTACTGGATTTGACCTGCAGCAACTCGTGGACTTCGTCAAGGAAGTAGTTGGCAAGCAGACTGTTCTCGTCGGAAACTCTATAGGAAGTCTAGCATGCCTGATTGCATCTGCAGGTGACGATTTATTGCTTCATTCTGTGTCATAACTTAAGCGAAAAATTTCGACTTCGAAATTGAATGTTTTATATACAACGCTGAATTTGAATTCATAATGTTTTGCGACATAATCCTATGAAATTACGTTTTATCTGCTGGCTAGACGGGGTAAGCAAAGTGGTTTTTTCGTTTCTTATTTCTTTTCTTTTCTCTCTGAAAACTCTATTTCTAGAACAAGTTTATGCTGATGTCTTGTCAGTGTGTTCGGCTTGATGTTATTACTGTAGCCAGAGATGTGTTGAATGATTATTTTCCAGGTCTCAAACCAGGTTTTGAACCCATCAATCGTGTGCAGAAGCTGCGCCTTTGAATCTGGTAAGAGGAACTGTCCTCCTTAATTGTGCAGGGGGCATGAACAACAAGGCAGTTACAGACGATTGGCGTCTCAAGCTGGCGTTACCTCTGCTGTGGCTCATTGACTTCCTTCTACAGCAACCATCGATTGCTGGCCGTCTTTTCGACCGAGTGAAATCCAAGTACATCCTAGTCTCAGTTGATGTCGACATAGTAATGTTCTCTGTAACAAACTTCGCTGTTACAACTTGACTAACAAGCTGATTTTGTGGAACAGGGATAATTTGAAAACTGTATTACAGTCGGTATACAGTAACAAGGAAGCAGTTGATGATGAGCTCGTAGAGGTGAATGTTGCGACCCCTTTGACAAGCTTTCGTGACTATGTCACATTTAACTTCTCTGGAATTTTCGTTTGAGTGGGGCCAAACGTTAATCAATGTGGTGATTTTGTACCAAAGAGACCTGATGCGAATTTCTGGCAGGTTATTCTGAAGCCTGCAGAAACGGAAGGTGCACTGGATGCGTTCGTTTCAATCATTACAGGTCCTCCAGGTCCGAAGCCACAGACGCTGATCCCGGTCATTGAAAATCCCATTCTGGTGCTCTGGGGCGATGAAGATCCCTTCACCCCTATTGATGGCCCTGTCGGGAAGTATTTCAGAGCTCTGCCGGAGACTAATCCTCAAGTTCAGTTGTTTCTACTTGAAAATGTAGGGCACTGTCCTCATGACGATCGACCAGACCTTGTCCATGAGAAACTTGTGCCATGGCTGGCTCAATTGCCGGCTTTAACGTAAAAGCTTCTATGTGATGCAAATGATGTTTTCTACTCGACACCAAAATATTCAAGCGCGATGGAACTGTACATGATTCAATTTCAGAATATAAATTCATTTAAGTGGCAAAGAAAAACATATCAATGTTGGATTATGAAAAATGGAGTATATCTGTTGCTACCATAAATTTGTACAAATATATATAAATATATATACATATATATGCACTTATATATATCCATATACATAATCTCCAATCGCGCATGAAAATAAGCAAAAGTCCCAAAGCTCATAAACAGGCATGTCTTCATTCATAAGCCCTTCTATCGTAAGTTCTGCAACTATTCTGAGCAAACGCTAGAAAAGCAACTTTGGACGGTATGCATTGTTCATCTTTACGTTATTCCCTAAATGGACATGCTCAAATCATCCGCAAAACCTCAAAGAAAGAAAATCCGAGCCCCTGAAAAATTAAATTCTATCAGCTCCAGCTCCATCAGATAAGCGCTTAGCCGCTTCACAGCCTGCAACATAATTCACATATACATCAGCCCCACTCAGACCCCACAAACAAAAGCCCAAGTTGCACTTCCGCTGCTCTACAAAATGTTAAACGCAAAGTTCTTCAGGAAAGCGTATTTTCGGAAGAACCGTCAGAAAACCTGATCCGAAAGGGAAAGTCACCCGGTCTGAAGCAACAAAAACTGACATAAAAAACTGCACAGTGCTCAGCCGAGAAGGATACCATCTGAATGTTGTGGGCATCTTCTTCAGAAACAGAAGCAAGTTTTTGGCTCCAAATCTGCAAACCCATCAGACCATTTGCTATGCTGTCCATGTCCAGACCTTCTTCTAAACGAGACTTCTCAGCCGTATAGTGTTTCCTCACACTATCAAACCAGTACAGTGAATCGAACTGCTTGTCTTGACCCAGTACCTGTAAATTCAAATTACAACATAATATTGCAAAATTAGTGACGAACTTTGTTTTGATTTGAAAAACATTAAATGCGTCAACTTGTCCAAAACAAAGCGTACTTCTGACCTCATGATCCACAATACTCAAATGATCGGGAGCATTCCTAAGAGGACTGCACTGAACATATCTAAAATCATCCTAATCCACATGGCTTTAGAGGATTCATTAAAGCCACAAATCAGCTTACCTTAAGAAGGTATGCAAGCCCCATAACAAAACCATCGTCTGTGAAGAGGGCATCCGCTGAACTACGAGTCCGTTTTAAGAATTTTGATTTCGAACGAACCATGGCTTCTACAGCATTAATAATCAGAGCCGGGACAATGAACACAAATTCCTTCAGGTGAATGTTGTCATCACTTTGCAAACCCTGCTCCACCCAGTGCAACGGAAATAAGTCACCATCATTCAACAAAGTAAGCAATTGATGTTCTGTTTAAGACAATCTGCCCTGCGAATTATCTTACAAAGAGCTTCTTACAGTATCCCGGTATAACCAACCTGAGAGAAAACATTCACAAGGATGTTGAAATAACTAGTATCATCCACGGACATATTTTGGCTCTCCAAAGCTGCATCAAGGAGTTTTCCAGCCTGAACAGCTTCTGGGGCCATGCCCAGATTCTTAGAACCCAGCTCAAAGCTAGTATTCTTACCTTCTTGTACATGTCTGCCACACCCAAGTCACACTAAGTAATCCTTTACACATGCTCTCAATGTGGACACACAGATAAAAAGTTCAATTCAGATAGATAATACACCCTCCGCACAAACTTCAACCAAAAGATCCGATCCATATGAAATGCAACTGCTAGACAGTTTTACTAGTACCAAATTCAGAATAAAATTGCATATGTTAATAACACGGCACACAATTGATTACAACTGCAAAACCATTGACTGTCAGAGAACCAAATTTCACAGATCTTTTTGATAAGGCCAGCGGTAGGTGGCGAGTTTGAGAAAGCAGAATGCCTGGTCGAGAAAGTCCCACACTTACCCAGAAGCCAAACTGCTGTAGCTAAGTCCTCCTAGTCGGACCATACGAACAAACCCAAGTGCATTACCAATCTCAGCAATTAACATCCGGAACTGGTCCATGTAACTGTGACCAATGTCATTGCTCCCCAACTTCTTTATCTCGTGATTGAGCTTCTGGGCTCTTGCAACGGGATACTCCCTTCGCTTATTCCCTTCGGTATCCTGGCACATCGTCAACAGAAACGTAAGAAAAGAACGATGACACAGCTTTATAACCAAAAAGAAAAAAGAAAAAAGAAAACGTCAATTGCAGAAAATATGTGAGATCGAGTGAGATTGAGTGAGGTTTGAGCACCTTAAGCATTTTGCTAAAACGATTTTCCTTGACAAGTCTGGATTTAATGTGGTCATCAAAGAGGAATTGTGAGAATGCTACAAACTTCTGAGCCAGGAACTGGTACGTGAAGTTCACAGTAGTACTGATAATACCAGCGCCGTGAGTTCGAATCGAGTTCGCCACGTGCTTTACACTAATCGTATTGATGTGCTTTCTAAACGTCGCACTAGATAATCTCTCTATAAATACCTGCAAGCAAAAATCGAGGAAATTTCTAAATCATCCACAGATATCATGGAATCCATCAGTGCAACTTCTTGCGAGTTGAGCTCGTCGTCGATTCGTGCAGGCAGCGGACTAAATTTCAACCACTTAAATATAAGTCCTCCATCGCTTGTTTACACCGGAAATCCAAAATGTGCGACTCTTGAACCATTCATCCAAAACATTACTAGGCTAGCAGTTACTTGAAACAATGAGAAACCGTACCTGAGTGTTTAGGTTGTATGTGTAGGATGCCACAAAATTGTGAATATTTCGCATGATATCCAACACATCAACTCCTTGTTCGAGTGTCTGGCATGGCAAATGAATATCATCTAATTCCAATCCGTATTTCTGCTGAGCAAGTTGTCGCATCTCATTATAAGTCTGCACAAACAAACAATAACTTGAATTTTACGCATACAAGAACCTGTTACGAAACCGAAAAAATAAAGAAAAACATACTCAATGCTTTGAACACCATGAAGCACAACCCACCTTCCAGTTGTGGAGAGCCACAGCAGCATGATCGTAAAATGCAGCATTGAGGTACATCTCCACACGAGTCTTAATGTGAATGTACTTCGTATCCAATCGCAACGGACTCACTTGCAATAACCATGACAAATCTCGCACTCCTGTCTGCAAACTACCACCTCAACAAAACTTTCCAACACAGCTAGGAAAAAGGTAACATAAATTAATGCATGATTTACGATGCGACCACAATGTCCAAACTACAAGCATGTTCTTCTTCTTCGAAAGAAAACATGCTGAACCCAGTTTACTAGCTGAAGATATGCAGCCAAGCTTGCAAAATATGCATGTCAGGAAGAAACCAAAATACGTGCCTTTGTAGGATTGACATTAACTGTGCCTTTCAGATGTGCAGAATGAACGTGGAGGCGTAGATCGGTCTCAATATCACGACAGAGTGGCATCACAACTTCCTGCTTGCCAATATGTGTTAATAGTAGGCTGCTATAAAGAACCTGCAGAAGACTATAGTGGATTCATGGTACCTAAGAATTGGTTATGTGCCTGATAAATAATAATGATGCTAAGCATAAGCCCAGGATGCTTACATTGATAATACTATCTCCAAGCTCTCTCTCATAGGATTCAACAACGCCCTCTTCTGCATGCCCAATTTTCAGAAGCTTGATACCATCCTTGAATGCACCAATCACATGCTGAAGGCTCCGAGCCTCACGAGTTTGTGTATAAAGCAAGGCGAAGCATGTGGGCATCATCTCTCGAGACCAGTACAAAAAGCTGCAATCTGTTGAAGTCTCCACAATCTTGTGGATGTCGACTGCTACGTCCACTAATAGGCTCAATTCCAGAATCTCTGCTACTGATTCTTCAGACAGCTTATTCTGCCAATACGGAAGATATCAGTACCACGGAACTTCACATGAACGTCATATCGGGTCATTACACGAGTGGAACTGAAGCGTGAGTCAAGTCTGTTTCCAGAAACAGAAAAATCAAGTGCACATTACCACATTCTGACTTGATCCGAAAGCTCAACAAGAACAAATGCGATCCAAAGGTTACATACCAGTCCAAAGAGTGTGTCAAGGCAAATGTGCAAGACTGTGCGTCGTTGCAAACTGGGGCAACCCTGAAGCATTTCCACTGCCAAATCCACCTACATTTCACCACATCCATGAGGATCCCATTTTCACATTCTGATCCCGTTATCCGATTACCAAAACTAACGTGATGAAAAGATGAAAGAGAACACCCCAGCAAAATGGCTTACAGCTGCCAGGGCATCTTGGATTTTGGTGTCCACATCCTTTCCACCTGTCACATATCCAAATCGCACACCACGGATGTAATAACCCCAGAGAACGAAGAACACAGCAAAACAAAGTAGAATATAAAACCAAACAAGATTGCAGCAGTGATATTGAGCCCATAAACCACCAAGCTGTGTATGATTCAAAAGGTTAGGCTAAAATACATTTTTCACCATCGGTGTATATTAATTAGCTCGAAATCTTCAATGTCCACAAGATTACTCAAAAGATTAATCAAAACAAAATGTTCAAGAAAGGAAGAGACCTTACGAGTGAAGGAGCGAGCAAAAAGGTGTAAACTACTGGATTTGGAACCTGCTGTGATTTCAACCTCGAGCTGTGCCTGCACGCCAGTAAAATTTTGTAAATATCTCGCAGCATTGTCTTCAGCTGTGATGCTGCAATTCTGCTAGTAATTGTATAATAAGTCAAAGAACTACTATTGATCGTCAGAGTGTTCGCCATATACAGATACAGTAAACAAGCTGTTCTAATGCTTGATCAGCTTTTCCACAGTTAAGTAAAACAAGAACACCTGCTCCTTAAAAACTCGTAGATTTTCACGGGTTACTCGATACCCGATGAAATGGATGGGATACAGAATCACAGAGCTTAAGTAACTTCTTGGTGCATTGATGCATCTAGTATCTCTGGTATGATTTTAAAGTCCTAAGACCAAGAACGTGACGATATGATCCACCTTTACATGCACAAAGAAGTCACATGACTTCGACACATTCGAATTGACGAAGTAGATGACCACACCTACCTTGACTGACAGAAGATGCTTCTGGATTTGAGTTTGAGCTAGTTCTAGGATGTTGCTCATCGCTAGCACCGTTTCACTATTTCGCCTGTGATAAACTGCTCTCACTACCTGAAAGGCATTGAAACACCAGTTTGTGAACTACAAAGAAACGCATAGCGCAATTTAGCCTATTGTGTATCTGTGTCTGTACAGAAAGTAGCAAGTTCATGGTCCTCCACCATTCACAACAGTATCTGAATTGGATATGAAGTCTCAGCATCTGAGCAGCATTGAGGTACTCTTTGGAGAAGGTAAAACCTGAAGCAGCTCCGCTGCATGCCGTAGACTGCGTACCTGATCCTTACTCAAAGGTTCCTACATTCCAACAAATTCAGGAAAGCTAAATTACAACAGCACAAACGTCTTATTACGATGCGTGAAAATGGAAAAAGGAACCACTTGCATTAAACATATTGATACAAAAGGCTGTTTCTAGTATAAACGAAGGCTTGTAAAATCTGTTTCAGTGTCAACTAAGAAGCACCTGGATATTTGAGTAGAGAATTAAGCCGCAAGTAGGATAAATGCTTACCCCTAAAGATACATGACAATCAATAGTAGCCCGTATGATATATTGAAGTCTATTAGCCAGAAACACGCCCTGATGCACAAATAGCAAGATCACGTACTTTAAGTAAGGCAGCACGGCAAACCGGTTCGAATTTTCAAGCACTAAACAGTAACCTGGCACTTCAAACCAAATTCACTGGAGAGTTATGAGAATATATTACTACAAAAACTCCCCATACGGTCAATTCACAAACAAGTTTCAAAATTCTTTCATGTTTTAGAGATCAACAGGGTGTTCACGTAGTGTTAGACGAAGATCAGCAAGAAATCTGAAAAGCTTTAATAAAGACTAAAGTTCTGACGCTCAAAATGGCCTATAAAAACTTCATCAGAATACACCGAAAAAGCCTCAGAATTCTTTACTAAAGATAGGATACCTGTGCAAGCTGTTTCAACCTCATTCTCAACATGGCATGGATCGCTAGTCGCTGTACCTGCATGCACATTTACAATGATACACATTGCAACTAAAATATTAAAAAAACGTCGTTGCTCATTCAATAGATCATTATTGTTCAAGTCATTTTGCACAGTTATCTGAAGCAACATGGTCAAATAGGGCATCGCACGTAAGATAATTCTCCTCTCTTAGACACAAAAATTTTAACAAAATAATACACATCAACCAGGATAATAATGTCAGGCTTCAAATCTCGTTAAGAAAAGAGTATAAAACCTTGTGACATTCAGATCTACGCAGCGAAAGTCATATTGACAGATAAACGAGGAATAAATGCTTACAGTAGGTGACACCGTCGAGTCGAATGACACGAGCCAATGCACCAGTTCATTCTGCATGTTCTGAGAATTCCTGTATACAAAGAGCTAAGTATATTAGTATAATCCACAATGATATTCCCAAATAAGACTAGTCGTGAAGACAAAAGTGTGCAGTTGTTTGAATTCAAACCTACACAGGCATATCCCAAAGAAGATTGATTGTGCATGGCCGCTACAAATTGGGATTCTGCAATTTCAGCCTGCAAACTTCGATAGCTTCAAAAAGTAATGACCTGCTTAATGTTTCATCAAGGCTTGTTAAATAGGCTCGATTGACTGTTCCAGCTTCTTTTTGAGCATCTCTCAAAAAAGAAGTAGCAAGAATCCAAGGAGGTAACCGGGCCCGTAAAAAACTCAAGCAAGTAATCTGTGTTACACAGAATACATGGATAACAGGTGCCCGTTTCAGAAGATCCATCACAAGCTTCGTTGCCTTCTTTTCAGGTGCAGAATCGACTGCAATGTCCACGCAATAACATACCAAATGAAATTTCTTGTGAAGAACAGCTTTCCGGCAAATGTTGTTAGAAAAGCATCCCTCTAGTCAACTTTTCCGCTTAAAACTCTAAGTTACCACAAAGTAAAGAAAAATCTCATTTAGACAAAATTCGAATATCCTTCTGCGGTTGAGTCAAACCTAAGGCACTGGCCATGAAAAAGCAGCTTGGATTTAAGAAATCCATATGGTGAAGACAAGCCGTCAGGTAAACAACAATTTCCATTTACCTACAATAGCAATAAATCTCAACTTTCGCGTAAACAAGACCAGCTTTATCACCTGTATTTTGAAATGCTAAAACGTTTCTGAGTAATAACACTTCAATATACTCAGGCTAAGGTAGCTCCATAAAACAGAACCACAGAGGCACAATTCCACACCTCTTTTCGAAATGTACATTAGAATATGATTCCAACTGCACTAAGGCGAGAAATCCGGAACTCATGGACTTCTACTGTTTCCAATCTAAGACAAGGTGTGAGATCATACCATTCATCCATGTATACAATATGAAAATTGCAAGTACACCTGCTAGCTGCTCCCGATCGTAAGGCCTTTCTCTCAACGAATCTGATTACACGACCAAGAAAAACGAACCGCTTGATCAAGCTACCTACGAAGGTGGTTTCTGTAAAGCAAGTTTTGATAGTTACATACACGAAAGAGTATTGCAAGTCTCACGTAATCCAAAGTTTAACATATCTGCCACCGGTGCTAATTAAGCTAAGAAACTTTTCGATACAGCATACTATTTCAAAATAGTCAATATGTAATGAAGAAGAACCATCTTTTAACTAAACTGGGTGGAGAGGATGCAAAAGGATGAAGATGTTAAAAAAGATTGGTCTTCTTACCAAGTCGAGAGATGCTTTGAGTGAGGCTGTCACGTATTAGAGTTGCAAATTCATCCAAAAAAAATTTGTTACTCTTCAGATTTACCATTTGCAGATTTCCATGAATATCCTCTTGAATGCACTTCTGCATTCAGACACAGTCCACCAATTACTGTTCCTCCAGCTCAAAAGAACTCATAATATCCACTTGTATATTTGTTAAACGCCTATAATAGATGAGACACTTACTTGGAAAAGGCCACTAGTCAAAATGTTGTCCATGTCATTCACAGCTCGATCTAGCTCTTCCACATTCTCCGGTGCCATGTTGAATCGAGGCGGATCACCACGTACTGAATGCAGCATTCTGTCACGCCGCCCACAATATACAGGGACGTATATAGCTTACATAGAAACTCGCAGCTTACATATAAAGTCAAATGTAACAATACGCTCCTCGAAGCTCTCTTGATTGCGAAGATATGACCATCCAGTGTCCAAGGCATGTATCGTCAATAATAAATGACTTCCGTACCGGGAATCTAATGATTTACAATCAACCGATTTTAGATAGTGGGGACGATGAGAGACACGGACCTTGTGAAGAGGGACATTGCATGGCCAATGTTCAGGTTCTGTGCGATGATCTCATCCACAGTCACAATCACCGTAAGCCCATCCACCAAAGAGGAGAAGACAGTTCGGAGATGGCAAGACAAGAAGTAAGGACAAGGAGCCTCATTCCTGTAGATGGCCTCCAATTGTTTTAACAAATTCACAATTAACCTCCGCAATCCAGAGATGTATTTGATAAGATCATTAAAAAATGAAAGCGAGGTTGCAAAGGATTTCTGTAGCTCCCCCTCGGGGGGTACATCCTCGCTGTTCGGCCGCAATCCAAAAACAAGTAATCGAGGATAAAATTCTGTCTGAGCCAGCTGCCGGAACCGGGACACTTCTATACAATCGAACGCCAAGACATAAACAACTTTGTCAAAAATCGAACTTGTTTTGTTCATCACATCGACTAAAACCTCTCCATCGTCATTGAAACACGTTCGCAGCAGCACGGGGTCGCGATTCAAATCCGTAACCTCCCTGGACGCGAACGTACAAGCATGATCAGCAGCAGAGTCCAAAGCAGCGAAAGCATCACCCCGCCACTCATCAACAAAACGACGAAGCCTCTCATGCTGCTCCTCGGCCACCAAGCCACCTGCCACATGAAAAAGAAGAGAAGGCGGGGAGTGAGAGACAGGACGCGAACAAGAGATAAACCCTAAAGCGAGAGTAGAGAAAAGATCGGAGGTGATGTTGAGTAGCACAATACCAGGTGACGGAGGGGTGGCAGAGGCGGCCATGAGGAGGTGACGAAGGTGGAGGAGGAGGATGAAGCAGATGCAGTAGTGTAATGCCTGCTAGGAATCCACCTTGGCTTGGCTGGATTTTGGAGAGTTCACTGCAACATCAACCCCATGCTATGCGGCAGCTGCACATACGCAATAATAATACCAATTGCGTCCTCGATCGGAACCAGAGTTTCCACCCAAGTTAATGACGACGACGACGACGACGACAGTCGCAGTCTGATTGGTGTGTCACCCGAACTCTCATCCTACATCCATTTCTATCATCCTGCTTTCAGTATTCCGAACGTATTACGGAAGCTTTCGTAATACTCTTGATCTATGATTGAGAACTAATGATACTCAAAATTCTATCGCAATCTAAGATTTAAGAATTAGGCTTAGTATTAGAATTTAGATAAGAAATATATATACCAAGTTTGTATTATGAATTTATTTGAAAATAAGTAATATTTGGATTTCTCTTCACAAGTTTTTTTATGTATTTAGAAACTTGTGATCCATTTTCAGATCACTTGCCTTGCTAAAAAGTCTTCTATAAGCTCTCATTTCTTATATAAAACAACTCTAGAGATAAACAAATGGTATAAACCAAAAGAGATAAAAACCATCTCTAATTGGTTGCATATATCATTATTTTATTTCATATCTAATTGCTTTCATTATATATCAATAATAATTATTGCAAACTTATAGCTTCTCCACCAATTGCAAACATATTTCCACAATTTTTGTTGGTTGTATAAGAAGCATAATCTAGAAAAACTTATTTTCCATCTCCCATATATATATATATATATATATATATATATATTTGTGTATTTTAAATGGTAAGATATTGGAACATATCAAACTAAATTTTTAATTTTTAGTAAATAAAGTAGCAAATATTTTTTAGTTTTGTAGCCAACACTATAGATTTCTACTAGTAATTTATTAGTAGTCACAACTATTATAATATAAGATACATTCGAATTTCTTCTAGATCATTAAGTATACATTAAATTTTTATAACCAATAGAATTAAAGAGAGGATTTTAAATACTTGAAATAACTTTTTATTAATATATAAAATATTCTATATATTCATAAAGTATGTTTCATTAAAATTTAATAGAAAAAATTATATTTTAAAAATATTTACAAAATAATAAATTAAGAAACCAAATAAGATAAATGAAGTATAACCTATAATAATATAATTTTAAAAATATGATATTTATAAAAGATTAAAATTAAAATATTTACTCCATATAATAAATCTAATTTAATAAAGAATAAGATAACATATCTTGCTTCTTTTGCATCCAATTCATCTCTATTTGTAATGATTTTTTTAATACAACCATTGCAACAAAAAATGTCTTTTAAAAAAATCAACATACTTTTAATATTTTTTGTTCTTAATGCTCATCTTTTAATCATATTTGATAAATTTTCACGTGCAAGTATCAAATACTTTATTTGTCTAAGTTCAATAGGCATTATCAGTAAATCCACTATCCATTTATAATGTAGTATTAGAAGATAAATTGGATGTAATCCATGTCAATGCCAAATATCAGAATAAAGTTGACAAATCTTACACAATCTTATAAAATCAATCATATCTTTGTACATTCATTTCTATTAATATTTTTAAATTAGAATAACTATTATCAAATACAAAAATATTAAAATTCTTGAAACAAGAATAAAGACTAAAAAAGCAATGACAAGAATGAAAAAGGTTTCATTCTTTCTTCTATATATACTATCTAACTAGAAGCTACCTAGCAATGCTCTAAAAGACCTCCAACACATGTCAAACTTGCAAGACACATGTCTTAGTTATGAGACAAGTTTTCTATATGTGCGCTATATTATTAGCTTGTTCCTTAAGCCATTAAGACATAAAACACGTAGTTAATTTATTGGCAAAGTTTCAAACCTATTATTATGAACATATTGATTTACTCCAATAGTTATCTAAATAATAAAAAATAGATAAATTTAATTTAATTTAATAATATTTTATAGAAAATCTTTTCAAAAGCTTTAAAAATATAATTTGATATGTATATATGTCTATGTGATTGGTAGTTAAGATACTTAGCCAACAAGTTAACCACATCTTATACTTGTTGGAAGCTTGTGATATAAGCTAATGATGTGGAGCATATATAAAAAACTTGCCTTGTAAGATAAGACACATATTGAAGATTCTAAAAAATGTCACCACATAGCCTCTAAATAAATAAGATATATATATAGGCAATAATAAAGTCTTCTTCATTCTTATTAATTTTTTTTGCTTCTAGTTTAATTTCAAGGATGTCGAATTTTTTTTTGTCTTTTAACAATAACCATTTTATTTTTTTAATATATATATATAATTATTTATATTTTTTTAATATTTTTAAAAAGTATATATATATATTTTTTATTTTTATTAAATTTTAAATTTAGATTTAGAGTTTTAAGATTTAGGATGTAAGTTCAAGATTTAGGATTACATGTATGTCTTCAAAAAATGGACATACTTTTTTTAGGATTTTAATTTGATTTAACTTCCTATTTTTAAGGATTGTGGTTCTAATGGTGTAATTAATTTTACTTATGCTTCTTTCATTTGATAAATATTGATTCTTTAACTTTTAAAAATAGATTTGACTTTTTTATTAATGAAGAATTTTAATATTTTAAATTGACCTATATTCTTATTTTGGAATATTATAAATCTACTAGTATACTTAGTTTTTTCAAAAAAATTATGATTTGGATGATGTAGGGGTTTTAAAAAATAAACTTTAGAGTTGGTAATTTCTTCTGTTTTTAGAATTTTGAAATTTAAACATGACCTACTGCTCCATTTTTGAGGATTGTGATTTTAATGGTATAAAAATATTTTCTTGTGCTATTTTCATTTAAAAAATATGAAGGATTTTACTTTTTAGGATTTAGAATTGATTATAATCTTAGGATTTAGAATCTAGGGTTTATAATAAAAAAAATATAATTTAATATAAACTTGATATATATCATTGCAATAACCTTAAAAAAATTAGTTACAATACATTAAAAATTTGATACAATTTAACAAAAATCGCATTCAAAATCAATAATAAAAGATTTGGCTTCTTAACAAAAATCTCTAATATATTTTTATTCATATCTAAAGTTTTACAAAAAATCCTTAAATATGCTATATACCATTAGAATTGCCGTGAAAAATCAGTCACATTAGATTCAAAATTTACTAGAATTTGATCAAATTTATATACAAAATCAACAATCAAAGATTTGGCTTTCTTAAAATAAATCTGCAACAAATTTTTATTCATAACTAGTGATTTACAAAAAATCTACAAATATGTTATATACCATTAGAATTTTCTTAAAAAATAAGTCACAACAAACTCAAAATTTATTCAAATTGGATCCAATTTGCATACAAAATTAATAATTAAAGATTTGGTTATTTGAAACAAATCTATGACACATTTTTGTTTATAACTAGAGATTTATAAAATATCCACAAACATGCCATATATTATTAGAATTTCCTTAAAAAATTAGTCATATTTGACTTAAATTTTGCTCGAATTGAATCAAGTTTGCATACAAAATTAATAATCAAAGATTTGATTTTTTTAAAATGAATTTTTGATATATTTTTGCTCATAACTAGATATTTATAAAATATCCACAAATATGCTATATACCATTGAAATCGCCTTAAAAAATTACTTGTATATTACTAAAAACTTGCTCAAATTAAATTAACAAAGTTATCATCCATCAATTACCATTTTTGTATAAATTATAATTTTAATCTTAATATTGATAAGGCGACTTTTATACATATCTTTTGTCATGGCTTTTCAATGCTCTAACAAGTCTTATAACTAGATCAATCTTGTATGCACTATATGCATAATAGAAGGCATCTTATCTAGCATCTATTTTTATATCATAGAAAGAATCTTATGATACAATTCTTGATAAATCTTGACTTTGAATATATGTTGGTGAATAATTGATTTGAAATCCATTAATCTAAAATCTTCTTCATTACACATCTTGTACATAATACTTTCTATAAACCTATGGGCTTGATGATGTGTACTAAGTTTAAGATTTAAGATTTAAGTTTAACGTTTAGAGTTTAGGATTATATGTACATCCAAAAAATGGATATATTTTTTTTGGAATTTTGATTTGACCTACCCTCTCATTTAGGATTTAGGATTTAAGGTACATTAAAAAGATGGAATATGATGGATCATGGCTTCATTGCCACCTCCACAACTTGCAAGTTGTAGATAAAATGAAACAAAATTTTAATTATGGAAGCATTACATATAAAGTGAGCATCACCATTATTGTTTAAGAAACAATGTAATGTATTGTAGCCAACATCAAGTCTTTGCAATCTATTATCATTGTCTTCTTTATTGAATAATAACATTACCACAAAAATAATGTAGATGGAAGATTTATATAATAAAAAAATAAAATAGTTGTAGTATATAAGATGTATTATAAGTTGTAGGAATCTTATATATAAGAGAGCTTGTTGCATATGTTTGATTTTTTAATAAAAATATTATTGTGAAAATAATTAGCTTTAGGAAATATTGGCTCTTTGTTGGATTGGTTAAATAAATACAAGATTGATCATATTTTTTAGTAAAAGATTGATATATTTTTTAGCACAAGATTAAAAAAATAACTACAATTAAAATTGGATAAAAAAACCTATCTACAGAATAGATGAAATCTTTTACGTAACTATAAATAGGTCCCTTTTTACTTAAAAAATTGCCTTAACTTCTTTGTTGCTTCAAACTCATAGATCCTTAATTTGATGGAAAATTAACTTCAAAATGTTTTAATTCTAATAAATTTTATAGCAAGCAAAGTTTTGAGTCATGAGAAATGTCTCTTTAAAGTTGATATTCTCAAATTGCCATGACTATAGACCCTCTTTACTAAAATCATCTCTTAAAATTCATCTAAATTCAGATTTTAATCAACCTTAATATTATAGTGAACTTAGACCAAGATGAATATATACAAAAAAATTCATCATATAATTCAAAAAATTGAGAGATAAATTTAAGAAAACCTGAGGCTCTTCATTTTTATTTCAGTGTTTTACAATTTTCAAGC